GTTCGCTCCGGGAACATGAAGGGCCTCAAACTGATCGTTCGTGATCTTCACGAAGAAGTCTGACCATCTGGTAGGTGGGCGGCCACGCGGTCTTTTGACATCCCATGGAATCCAGTCGGTAACAGCTCTAGTCCAGCGGTCGTCTTTAAATCTCATTACGTGACCAGCCCATCTGATTTTTGACACCTTGGCAAATGAGACAGCGACCCTGATTCTTGATCGTCGACGGATGTCAGAACTCCAGATTCTTTCTCTCATTTGAGTGAAACGTGATATTCCAAGCATAGCTCTTTCTATTCTTCTTTGGGAGACCTGAATAGCGTTCTCATCCTGTTTGCGTAGGGCCCAGGTGTCTGAGGCATATGTTAATGCAGGAAGAACAGTGGAATCAAAGAGATGTGCCCAGAGCCGGAGGTTCTTCGTCCTCTTAGCTATTTCTTCGACGTTCTTGAAGGCGTTCCAAGCCGCTCTCTTCCTCCTGCGCAGCTCAGGTGCCAGGTCATTTGTCATGTTGACCTCTCGACCTAGGTACACATAGCTGTTGCATTCGGAGATGGTCGTTCCATTGAGAGCGAATGGGGCATCAGGAACAAGGCTGTTTCTCATAAACATTGTCTTCGTAAGATTCAGCTGTAGTCCTACCTTTCCACACTCGCGGTCAAAGTCGGCCAGCATTTGTGCCGCTTGGCTGATGTTTGGTTTTATTAAAACAATGTCATCAGCAAAGCGGAGGTGGTATTTTAATTTTAATATTAAAATTTAATATTTTAATTAAATTTAAAATATTTAAATAATGATTTTTAGTTTAAAAGGTAACTTAAGCTGGTAGGGGTGTAGTTTATTGGTAGAGCAAATACTTCACATGTAAGAGAATCTGGATTTAATCTCGGTCAAACATACACACAAAAACTAAATACTTGAACAATAAAATGATAGAGAAATGTTATTACTGAGTATCAAAGCTTGCTTAAAAATGCCGTGTTTGAATAAAGAAATATACAATCCATTTAAATGTTATTAAAATGTCTTGTTAATTTTTTATAATGACCTAATGAATAGAAATATAATTTACAGCTGCTCTTTAGCAGAATATAAAAAGCATAATAAAAGTGAAATGTTATCTAAACAAAGAAACCACAAAATGGAGTGCAAAAATAGGAGTGCAGAATGGAAAACTGAAAAGATAGATATAGATCCACGCATATAAAAATCATAAGAAATATAAGTGGATTATTTTGTCAATTAAAATATTTTAATGGGAGGATATAGTTAAAGTTGTCAATAGTAGAAGTCGAGGAGAGCTAATACACAGCGTAGAGATTGTAAACAATGCTATGTTATAAACTTCAAAGTTGCAGGTAGAGTGGATCCTAATTGTTCTCACCACAAATAAGAAATTATAATTATGTGGCGTGATATAGATGTTGCTTAACTTTACAATGGTGATAATCATATCGCAAGAGATAACTGTATCAAGCCAACAGGATGTATACAGTGATGTATGTGTCAGCAGTTTTAAATGTATATCAAACAACAGAGGAGATGCACCTAATTTTTTTTAACTTTATTTAAACATCATAGTTTAGAGTTGTTCATATACAGTTGTTTCAGGCATTCAGTGTTCCAACACCAATCTCACCATCAGTGTGACCTTCCTCCACCATTGTCCCCAGTTTCCCACCTGCCTCCTAAGCCTGCCTCCTGAGCAGGCACAAAATAATTTATTTTACATTGCTTCTTACAACAAATATGCTCATGGAATTATTTTTAAAAATACTTCAGTAAAAGAAGGTTTGTGAAAATGGTTGTACCTCACCATGGAGTTGTTAAGTCCTTGTCTGAGGGTTTACTAAGCTGTTTGGTTCCTAGTTGAACCTTCTGTGTTAACTGTTGTTGTTTACTGAGTTTAGCTGGCGTCTAGGTATTTCCCCATCTAATTCGGTGTGCTCAGAATTCTGAGCCCAGCTTTCAGTACTGTGGAGTTTACTGGTGTCATTCCAGGAGCTTCGGGATCTGTAGAACTGGGATGATAAGTTTCAGCAGCTTGGCTTGACTTACATCTGAGATTAGTGGTCAAGTTGTGAGTCTGGGTTTGGCTTCCATGGTGGCAGCTGGCAATGTGGGTGTGGCTGCCGGGTCTTCTGGCAGTACAGGCATGGGGGAGACTGCTCACCTGCACTTCCAGAAGACCCCAGAGTTCTCAGCCCTCAAACTGGTGTATCTGGAATTTTTCTGGGTTAGGCATCTTTGTGGAGGTTAGCCATGAAGCAGTGAAGTTGGGTCTTTGGCATGGCAGCAGCTGTGGGGTGTGGGGCAGCTGCCCAGGCTTCGGCAGGGCAGGGACTCAGCCCACCCAAGCCCCCTCCTGAAGGCTCCCCAGAGTTTTCAGCCCAAAGACCCATGTACCAGTGAGTTTTAGCAGCTTGGCTAGCATCTCTTACCAGATTCGTGGTAAAACTACGGAACTGGGTTGTTGCTTACATGGTAGCTGTGGGATGAGGGTCCTAATTTTTAAAGTAAGTTTTAAAAATAAAGACTATTGGGGTCAGAGTGATAGTTACAGTGGGGAGTGTGCTTGCCTTGCACACGGTCAACCCAAGTTTGATCCCTGGCATTCTGTATGGTCCCCCAAGCCCTGCCAAGAGTGATCCCTGAGCACAGGGTCAGGAGTAAGCCCTGAGCACAGCTGGGTGTGGACCCAAAATCTAAATAAATAAATAAATTTGAGAATAATGGATATTAAAGCAATAGAAACCACCCAAAACCCATAAGATATATATATATAAATTAATTCAGCCAATAGCCAGTGTTGGTGAGGCTAAGAAACAAGAAGTGTAATCTATGGGAAGGTGAATTGCTACAACCACAACTTGGCAAATAGATGAACTATTCATGTATATCACAAAAATCACAAATCATCCTGTTAATCGTCGATTGCCTCGAGCAGGCCTCAGTAACGTCTCCTTCATCCTAGCCCTGAGATTATATCCAAGGCTCTTTAGGAGAATGAGACCCATCATTGTTACTGGTATTTGGCATATTGGGTACACCACAGGGAGTTTGCCAGACTCTGCCGTGTGGGCAGGCTACCGAATGTAGCCTGGGCAGGCTACATTCGGTAGCCTGCCAGTTTGTCCAAAGTAGGAATGAGATAATAAGATGTCTTCCAGGAGCTGGTTTTTATAGTCTCTGAGTCTTGGCCGCTGATGGGATTACACGGCACCAGGGGGCCAGTTAGTGGGTGTGACCCCCGCCTACTGGAATTTGGAGGATCTGGGTGGAGGATGCTCGGCCCAAATCCGAGTAGACTTGGAGATCTTGGCCCCGGAATTCGCATGACTTCGTCCCTCTGCCAGTACCTTCATGTGTGCGGAGAGTGGTCTCAGCATGGTGGTGGCTGGTCCTGGAGGTCTTTGGCTGCCGGAGCCCTGGTCGGGGCGGGGTATATTCATGTATATAAAACATATAAAAGAAATTCTACTTTTATATGTTTTATATATATTTCCTAGAACATGAAAAATATAAAAGTATTTTAGAAAACAGCTGTGTTTGAAGGTTCATTATGATAGTGAAAAACTAAAAAATATATATCTATTATGGAATTGTACTCATGCATCATTGCATAATTATCCCATAAAATACTATCTGTGGGGGGAAAGAATAAACTTAATCTGCAGGTGATAAAATAGATACTTTTTAAGTGTATCACGACCATCCTGTTGTTCGTCGATTGCCTCAAGCAGGCCCCAGTAACGTCTCCTTTGTCCTAGCCCTGAGATTTTTTAAAAAGTGCCATATTCAAGTCTCTTTCGGGGTTAGGAGAATGAAACCCATCATTGTTACTGGTATTTGGCATACTGGGTATGCCATGGGGAATTTGCCAGACTCTGCTGTGTGAGCAGGTTACATTCGGTAGCCTGCCAGTTTGTCCAAAGTAAGAATGAGATAATAAGATGTTGCACGGCCACATTTGCGGCCGCGCACTTCCAGGAGCTGGGTTTTAAGTGTATCATATTGAGAGAAATAAACAGGCAACAATGATAATGTGATTGTATGCTTTTGTATGAAATATAACAAATACTATGCTTATGGTTAGGTACATATATGTAGTGTTGTTGGTATATAAAAATAAGCATGAGGGTTACAAATCACTGACTCAACACGGGTAAGCTTTGGGGACAGAGAAGGAGAATGGAATTAGGGCCGAAATATGTACAAAGGAGCTCCAAATCTATCTTATGTTTCTTAATCACTTAATCACTTAACTTCCCATTAGTCGTCGATTTGCTCGAGCGGGCGCCAGTATCATCTCCATTTGTCCCTGTCTTATGTTTCTAGCTTTATGAAATATATTCCATATGTATGACAAGACATAATCTAGTGAGTTGGGCAGTAGATACTTAGATAATAACAGAATAGTTACATGACATATTTCTATATACTGCAACTATTTCCCAATTTTTAATTGTGATTTTACTTTATTGGGGAGGGTGAGAATAAAAAATTAGTGCTGCACAGTATAGCACCTGTCTCTCATATGTGAGGTATTGGATTTGATCCCTGTATCACAAAGGTCACTGTCGTGGTTCTCCCATTGTTCATTGATTTGCTCGAGAGGGCCCAGTAACGTCTCCATCGTGAGACTTGTTGTTACTGTGTTTGGCATATCGAATACATCACGGGTAGCTTGCCAGGCTTTGCCATGCGGGCGAGATACTCTAGGTGGCTTGCCGGGCTCTCCGAGAGGGGTGGAGGAATCAAACTCGGGTCAGCCATGTTGGCCGCTTGTAAGGCAAACGCCCTACTGCTGTGCTATCGCTCCAGCCCATCACAAAGGTAGAGACTATATAAATAAGTAAGTAGAGAGAGAAATGAATGTTAGGGAATGTTTGCAATATCGGATGATCTCCTTCTTAGCCTAAAGATTGGGTTATGTTCTGTGATGGGAGAAATCTAACAAGAAAAGAGAGAAATGCAACCATTTTCATCTCTTGTTTCAGACACATGTATGACCACTTTGTGAACCTCTACCCCCAGCTGATTAAGAAACCCTCCATCGTGGATAAAGTGCAGGATTTTATGATGTACGTATGACAACACTCCACTTCCTATGATTCAGACTTCAAGACCTGGATTTGTCATTTCAAACAGCAATGTTTGCCTTTCCGATTTTCTCTTCTAGCTTTTTTTTTTGTGGGGGGAGGGGTGGTTGAAGAGTGAGGGAGGGGAAGCCAGAGGAGAGAGGAGGGTCACCCTCTGCCAGTGACAAGGGCTTATTCCTGGTCCTGTGCTCAGGGAGTGACCCCTGGTGGTGATCGGGGGATGGAACCCAGACAAGTTAGTTGCCTGTAAGACAAATGCCTTAGGCCTCTCTTACCTCTTTATTCTCGGACTCTGGACTCTGGAGTAGCTTTCCTGGTAAGGAATAGTGTTTTTGGTAATAGCATGAAAATAGGTTGCAGACAAACATCCCCTAATTTGGGCTCTCTCAAAGCTCACGCTGGTGTAGAGGAAGTGGGCATCACAGTCACATCACAGCTTTCCTGGGAAGGATGGGGCCTACTCCCTTTCCGGGGCTTTCTTTCTCTGGGTTCCATTGACTAATCCCAGCGGGATTATCTCAGCACTAGGATTACTGTCTGAAGTCCTTAGCATCCTCTGAAAAACATTTTCATTTGAATCTTTTTTTTTTCTTTTTGGGTCACAACTGACGTTGCACAGGAGTTACTCCTGGCTCTGCACTCAGGAGTCACTCCTGGCGGTGCTCAGGGGACCATATGGGATGCTGGGAATCGAACCCGGGTCGGCCGCGTGCAGGGCAAATGCCCTACTTGCTGTCCTATCTCTTCAGCCCCTGAATCGTTTAAGGCCAATTACTCTCAATATTGAAAACATTATAGAAATGCATAAAGTGTCTCTTTGTGTGGAATAAAAGGCTAGAGGTTAATTTGGGGACACAAGGGCTTTTGATTTGTCTCTCTAAGCTCCATACCAAACTACTTTTTCCGTTGAATGCTTAAATTCTACGAAGCACCAGCTAAAACTCACTGAGTTCAGTTGCATAGAAATAGACACACACACACACACACACACACATACACACACATACACACACACACACCCCTTTTCCTTTGAGCTTCTTTGCTGTTGTTTAGCTTTACAATTTCATACAGAAGTAAAGTTAATGAACTTGTCTTTTCATATTGACATGTGAGACAATAATATTTTACACAAGATGCACCTGGACTATCTGAGATGTCTTTGGCTCTCAGAGTCACAGGAAGGGAAATATCATAGCTGGACTGGGTTTTGGATAGCATATGGGGGAAACTTTAGCATCCCAGGGAAGACTTCCAGGGCAAATCACTAGCATTTGCCTTAACACTTCTTCCAAAGTGTCCTAGAAATTACACCATCTAGAATTTAAACTTAAAGCAACCTAAGAATATGAGTATAGCATCTCGAGTTTCCTACGTCTGACTTAGCTTTGAATGAGCAACCCTGGCAATCACTAGCACAAATCTAATTTTTCTTCCAGGAAACAAGATGAGTGGACTCGGAATAACATCAAAGAAAATAAGAATGACCCATTCTGGAGACACATGGGCTATGTTATGGCACAATTGGATGGGCTCTATGTAGGGGCAACAAAGAGAGCTAAGGAAGACAGTACAAAGGTAGGATTGTAAAGAAGCTTCTCAGAATTCCTATGGTATGGCAATTGTAGTAAAGGTCTTCAAAATAAATTCCAATCATAGGCCAGAGGAATAGTAGAGCACATAGGGGGCTTGCCTTGCCTGTGGCAGATCTGGGTTTGAGCTCCAGTACCCTACAGGGTCCCCTGATCCCCTCTAGGACTGATCCCTGAGCACAGAGCCAGGACTAGGCCCTGAGCACCACTGGTGTGGCCCCAAATCAAAATAAATACTTTTCAATGAGATGCTGATCAAATTTGGATTGGAGCTTTCCTTGCACGCAGGCATTGTCTTATCCATCATACCATACCGCTCACGCTATCAGCCACTCAACTAAACACACAAGCCAATTTATTTCTGTTTTCTTAACCTCTTTCATAGGCCTGTACTTTGGGATAGGTTCAGAGTCTGGTATGAATGGACTGATTGCTTAACCTAATAAATCTAGTATTTTAGGCTAAATGGTTGTTTAAGGGCAAATGTCTAAGTGTGTAAGTTCTATCACAACACACACAGTCACATAATTTTTTTCTTGAAAATTGAATCACTAAAAATTTCAAGAGAATGCAGATATTCATTTGTAGAGGCTTTGTTTTGTGTCTAAAAATATGTATATAAAACAAATATGTATATATAAATATACAACAAATACAAAAAGTTCACAGAAGATTGTGCAGCAGTTCTTAATTGACCTCAGCTTTACTTGTAAGAGTAGCATTGTAGCACGGTCCTCCCGTTGTTCATTGATTTGCTCGAGCGGGCACCAGTAACGTCTCTATTGTGAGACTTGTTGTTACTGTTTTTGGCATATTGAATACACGACAGGGAGCTTGCCAGGCTCTGCCATGTGGGCGGGATACTCTCGGTAGCTTGCTGGGCTCTCCAAGAGGGATGGAGGAATTGAACCTGGGTTGGCTGCGTGCAAGGCAAACGCCCTACCCGCTGTGCTATCGCTCCAGCTGCATTTTATGTAAGAAAAAGAAATAACAAACCATAATGCCCAAAAGTAGAGAGAGAGTATGGGGAATATTGTCTGCCATGGAGGCAGGGGGAGGGTGGAGAATGGGGAGTATACTGGGGAGATTGTGGTGGGGAATGTGCCCAGGTGGAGGGATAGGTGTTTGATCATTGTGTGATTGTAACCCAAACATGAAAGCTTGTAACTTTCTCATGGTGATTCAATAAAATTTAATAAATAAATAAATAAATAATTAATTTTAAATAAAAGAAGGTAAAGGCCCTCCCGTTGATCGTCGATTTGCTCGAGCGGGCCCAGTAACGTCTCCATTGGAGACTTTGTTGTTACTGTGTCTGGCATATCGAATACTCTCGGTAGCTTGCCGGGCTCTCCGAGAGGGGCGGAGGAATCGAAGTCGGGTCGGCCATGTTGGCCGCTTGTAAGGCGAACGCCCTACCGCTGTGCTATCGCTCCAACCCAATGGTGTGCTAGTCGTGGCACATCAGTGGTATAGAGTATGAGATGTTGTTCCAGGAATACTAAAATTTTAAATAAGGTGATACAGCTAGAGCTGGAGCGATTAGCTCGAGCTAATCGGTGAACGGGAGGACAGTGCTACAGTGCTACAGTGTCCACAATAGTTCATTACAGATAATATTCAAACACCAACCCCACCACTGTGCACCTTCCCACCACCATACGAGGAAACTGTGTGAAGTTTGTTGTATTTAATCCTGGAGCCTTTAAGCCCGTATTTAAGAGATTACAAGCATGTATGTTAAACCCAAACAAATGTCTGCTGCTTTTCGTACATCCGTGGGCTAGAGAATCAGAGGTCACTCCAAGATGTTCTGTGTTGCTCTCTTCTGGGAGCTTTATTTCATGGTCTCTGGATCTTGGCCGTTGATGAGATTATATGGTGTCAGAGGCAGTTTGCGGGTGTGACTGCCTGGAGTTAAATATTTCACTGGATGGTGACTTTGGGGTCTGAGGCATCTCTGCTGCTTGTTGATCTCTTCCGAGATTTATTTGTGAGTCTCTGAATCATGGCTGGTTAATGTATTTGCTTCCAATTTTTAAGCAGAAACAGTGACATAAAAATCTAAAAGTAAAAAATAAACAATGATCTATAAAAAAAAAAAGGTAATGACTAGAAGGAGTAGGCATAATAATGACATTGCTCTGAATGTACCTTATTTTGCATGTTTGAATTTGGAATCATGTGAACACACATTACTATAAAAAAAAATTTTGGAAAGGAGAAAAGCAGTTCCTCAGAACTTCAAATTGACACGAGTACTTCTTTACTCTCATGTTCCTAGCGCGACACAGTGAGCAGCTGCTTTAAAGAGGACTGAGAACACAGTCCTTGCTGTGTGTCCCTTCTGCCACTGATCAGAACAGTTGTCACTAGCAGGAAGGAGGTGATGAGGACTTTAGGAACTCTGAAGGCGCTGTAATGTTCTGTTTCCTTCCTTCCTTCCTTCCTTCCTTCCTTCCTTCCTTCCTTCCTTCCTTCCTTCCTTCCTTCTTTTATTTCTTAAAAAAAACTTTTATTAAAATCACTGTGAGATACACAATGACAAAGTTATTCATGATTTGGTTTCAGTCAAACAATGTTTCAGTCCCCCCTTCACCAGTGTACGTTTCCCACCCCCAATGTCCCCAATTTCCTCTTTTGACCTCCCACCCCAGCCTGCTCTACAGCAAACATGTTTCTTTTCTTCTTCTTCTTCTTCTTCTTCTTCTTCTTCTTCTTCTTCTTCTTCTTCTTCTTCTTCTTCTGCTTCTGCTTCTGCTTCTGCTTCTGCTTCTGCTTCTGCTTCTGCTTCTGCTTCTGCTTCTTCTGCTTGCTTCTTCTGCTTCTTCTGCTTCTTCTGCTTCTGCTTCTGCTTCTGCTTCTGCTTCTGCTGCTTCTGCTTCTGCTTCTGCTTCTGCTTCTCTCTCCCTCTCTCTCTCCTTTTGATCATTATGGTTTGTGGTGCAAATATTATAAGGTTATCATGTATATCCCTTTAACTACTTTTACTCTCAGCCCTTAGTTCTTGCCAGAGTGATCATTTCTGACTGTCATTGTCATAGTGGTCCCTTCTCAATCCTAAATGTCCTCTACCCTTCCCCTGACTTATGACAAGTTTCCAACAACAACCAGTCCTCCTGACCCTAACTTTTACTGTCCACAGGTAATAGTCTCATACTGTATTTTTTATGTCCCACAAGTGAATGTAGTCATTCTATGTCTGTCCCTCTCCTTCTGAATCATTTCACTCAGAATGATACTCTCCATATCCATCCATTTGCAAGCGAATTTCATGACTTCATTTTCCCTTCTATTCCTTGGAATATAAGCTGCATAGTATTCCACTGTGTAGATGTATCATAGTTTCTTTATCCAGTCAACTGTTCTTGGGCAGTCAGGTTATTTCCATATTCTGGCTTTTGTGAATAGTGCTGCAATAAACATAGAAGTGCATTTATGCTGTGTGTTTGGGGGCATGTAATGTTATGCTTCTTAAACTGCAAAGTGGGAATACAGCATTTGCTTTTTGTTATTTTTTTTTAAGTTGTGCTTCTCTATTCTCTTTTATATGTAAGGACTCAACCTTTTATATTGGAGGTGTGGGATATTCTGGGGATCAAACCCCAGGGCTTCACATATGAAAGACAAGCACTCAACCACTGAATGACACCCCTAGCCTTAGAGTCTTAATCAAAACAGAATAAATTTCTACATAAATTGCAATGATACTGTTTTCCATCTATCAAATTAAAATAAAATAAATGTTTAATAGGTATCTAAAGCTGTAGGAGCGTAATTTAAACAAATCCAATGAGAACAATTTGGCAATATCTAGTAGAATCAGAAACCCTCCAGGCATCTCTCCTGGAGATTCTTAGATATACAATATGATGTATCAAAATTGGGTTTTTGTCATATTGTTTATAATAGGAAAGATCAGATTGCTGTTAAAAGCCACCAATGAAATACTGGTTAAAGATGTCATAATGTGGGTCAAAGAGATAATATAGTGGGCAGTCACTTGCCTTGCATATAGCAAATCCAGATTCGGTCACTGGCGCCACATATGGTCCCCTGAACACCCCCAGGAGGAATTCCTGAGCATAAAGCCAGGAGTAAGACCTGAGTATAGCTAGTTATGGCCTCTAAACATATATATATATATATACACAATGAATATATATATAGACACAATGAATATATATATATTCATTGACTGTCTTAGAGCCTAGCAAGCTACCGAGAGTATCTCACCCACATGGCAAAGTGTGGCAAGCTACCCGTGATGTATTGATATGCCAAACACAGTAACAAGTCTCACAATGTTACTGGGCTCGCTCGAACAAATCAATGAACAACGAGAGGACAGTGACAGTGATTCATTGACTGTGTGTATATATATACATATACACACAAATATATATATTCATTGACTGTGTGTATATATATACACACATGGTGCTATATGTATACAGTGTGTATATATATATATATTCACTGTGTGTATACACACACACAGACACACACACACACATATTCATTCACTGACTTGCTGTCTGAAAAGCTGAGAAAGATTTTAATGTGAAAATACTCCCAAGATACTGCACTAAATAAATTAAGAGGAAAGAGTAAGGTGATGGGCTTCCAGGCCCATACACAGTGCACATCTCATGGACCCTCACACTAAGATGTCATATAACAAGTTATTTATATGTATAGGTATAGATATGCTCAAGAAAGCACAGAAAGGTTAAACTGGAGATAGGTGGATAGGATGATACCTGAGAAAATAGAAAAGAGAAGTAGAGGGGCCAGATAGTACCCATGACAGACCCAGGTTCAGGCCCCAGCACCACATATAGTTCCCTGAGCCCTGCCAGGTGATTCCTGAGCACAGAGCCAGGAGTGATTCCTGAGCATTGACAGGTATGGCCCCCAAAACAAAGTGAAACAAAATAAATAGGAATAGAAGACAATTCATTTAGAGATGATTATAATTTTGAAAATCTTGAATAATATTAATCTTGAGTCAATGTTTTTAATTCAAAATGAAAAACAAAGAGAATATATGAAGAATTTGCTTGCCTTTTCTGCTTCAATGTTTTTTCTTGATTTGAAGGTTGGTGTTTTGTTTTGGTCTTGGTGGAAATGTCATTTGTGTCTGTCTTATCTCTACCTCTCAAAACCAATTTGTAGTCACTTTTCCCTTGGGCATTGAATTAACTCTTTAGTTAGCAATAGTTCATGCTCAAGCCTGATGGTTGCTTCAGGGTTAATGCTGTTGAATTAACAAAATCAGAACACAAGCCCCTTAGGAAAGTCCTTGCTCTAAAGCACTGGTTCTCCACAAGGTTATTCCCCGCAGAGGTTATTTTGGCAATGCCTGGAGTCAGGGTCGGTGGCCCAGACTAGAAGACACTGTTGGAATCTACTGAGTGTGCTCTCAGCAATGCACAGCTTTCCTCCCTCTAGAAAGAATGCTTGAGCTCTGGCTGGCTGGAGAAATAGCACACTGGACTGCAAGTGCAGCTTTGCATAGAGGATGTCCAGGCTTACTCCCCGGCACCATGCGGTACCCCCAGCACTGCCAGGCACCAAATTGTGAGAATCACAGAGCCCTACATCATGTGGTTAAAAGAAGAAGGAAAAAAATTAGGATTTGACTCAAAATATCACTAGAATTGCATTTGGGTAGATAGTTCAGAGGCTGGAGCACCTACCATGATGCATTAGACCCCACGCGCACGGGGGTCCCCAGCACTGCCGACTCCAACAGCATCACATTTCTGTGTTAAACACGCCATAGGAAAATGTTTGTTATAGGAGCTGGAGTGATAGCACAGCAGGTAGGGCGTTTGCCTTGCACACAGCAGACCCAGGTTCGATTCCCAGAATCCCATATGGTCCTCCGAACCCCACAGGAGTAATTCCTGAGTACAGAGCCAGGAATAACCTCTGTGCATTGCTGGGTGTGACCCAAAAAAGCAAAAGCAAAAAAAAAAAAAAAAGTTTGTTATAAACTGTCAAGTAAAAATGACCTTATAAGCTATCCCAAAATCTAGTCCAGCTGTTACACGAGAGACCGTTCCACAAAAAAGAGAATTTAATGTCCTACTACACCACCTTCCCCCACTCCACTTCACCCCCGGAGACTTAGAAAGGAAATAAATCTGCATGTCCATCTCGATGTTCAGTGCCGTTTTTGTGTTCCCAGCCCATGACCATGTTCCAGATTCTGTTTCTGAACGCTGTCGGAGACCTGCTGGACCTGATCCCCTCACTCTCTCCCACAAAAAACTCCAGCCTGAAGGTTTTTAAGAGATGGGACATGGGACATTGCTCGGCTCTGATTAAGGTGAGGTGCATGCTTTAGCCTTTCTCTTTCACCTGTCTGGACCACGTGGATTTTTATCTGTATGTCACCAGGAATGGCGGCATCTTCTCGCCCTTGAGCTTTCAGTTAAATCATGGCATGGTCCTCGGTCACTGAAGAACTGGCAGAGACTGATGGAGGAGCCAGAGGGACATGAAACAACCTCTGTTTCCTCTTCCATGCTCCTTGTGGGCTGCCACACCCCACTTCTAGAAAGTTCTATTTGGGATGCTAGGGAAGAGTCTATTTTATAGCTATTGAAAATAAGTGCTGGCTTCCTTGTCCCTACTTGCCAGTAATAGCACAGTCGGTAACACGGTCCTCCCATTGTTCATCGATTTGCTTGAGCGGGCCCAGTAACATTGTGAGACTTGTTGTTACTGTGTTTGGCATATCGAATATGTCATAGGGAGCTTGCCAGGCTTTGCCATGCATGCGAGGTACTCTAGGTAGCTTTCCAGGCTCTCCGAGAGGGGTGAAGGAATCGAACCTGGGCCGACCGGGTTGGCTGCATGCAAGGCAAACGCCCTACCCGCTGTGCTATTGCTCCAGCCCTGCCAGCAATAAATAGGACAATAAATCCTTGAACGGAGTTGATTCCTCGATCAACCTTTATTGCCATTTTATTAAATCAAAGCATTATCACTCTCTTTCTTCAAAAAATTACTTTTAGGGTCCCAGGGATGTGGCTTAGTGGCTGTCAACCTCTACATCACTGATTATGAATTCTGGCTCTAGGTTCTTCCTGGATTTGAAAATGTCTATTTTGCTCACTCAAGCTGGTATACATACGCAGCCATGCTCAGGATATATAAACACTGGGACTTCAACATCAGTGACCCGGAGACCAGCAGTGCTCGCCTCTCCTTTAGCAGTTACCCAGGTCAGTAAACCCAGAGGAACAGCTCAGGACTCTAAATGCGGTTTCTGGATGATCTCAGAGTAACTGAAACGGGAGAGGAATGTTCAGTGGTTAGTACACATGAAGAGGAAAGTGATTTTTTGAGTGCTTTTTGACTATGATTTCCTTCTTGGTTGCATTTGGTATTGTGGGGTTTCGCTTGTTACAGGATCTGGGGTTCATACACTTGGTAGTGGTCCACCCACCAGCAACATGGGGCAGTGCTGTGGATGGAACAAGTATGAAAGGAGGGTGCTCTACCACTACACCATATCGCCGCACCCCTAAAAGTAGCCTTTTGAAGGAAAAGAGTGCTAATGCTTTGATTTAATAAAATGGCAAAAACTAAGTTAACAGGCTTGCCAAAATTTCACTTCACCCAATGCCAGATGAGTGTTAAGTACAAATGACTTTCCTAGAGTCTGCCATGGAAGCAAAAATCAGCAAAAACCATCCCGCTACCTGTCTCCTCCACAGACTGCTTCTCTTATTTATTACAGCTTGGAGACCCTTTAACCAGAGTGCTGCATCTCGTACTCACTCAGTTCCTGAGTGAACGGATGAACAGATGTATAAGCTTTAAAACATGATACTAAAACAATCAGATCAATGCAGATAACAATGTTGCTAGGTCCTATGTATGCTGTGGCAGAGTACACGCACACAAATCATGAGGGAGATTGGTGGGAGTCAGTAAGAGAAGTTGACATGTGAGATGAGCCAGACGATTCAAACTTGAACATGCGGAGCTGGCTGGGACCGTAGTGTAGGGCTTCCAAACTCTGAGCCTGCAGGAGACAGGCAGATGGTGTGAATCTGTCACAAGGGCCAGGGAAACACTGAAGTGGAAAGCATGGTGGCTGTCACGTGACCCAAGTGGAAACCATAGCAACTGCCATGTGACCCACTGAAAGGGGGCCAGGTGCTCAGGTCCTGATGACTACTGTCAGTCAGCAGTGTGGACGTTGGTTTTTCCAGACCCTTCCCCATAAAGAAATGTAGGTTGAGAAATCAGACCTCACTGTGTGAATCCATCCAACAAAGCATGCTGCTCCATGGAATTGCCCGCCTTGAATGCAGGTTAACAACAACTTCAGGAAGTGTCACAGGGACCAATTTTTGCCTAGCATCAAAGAGTCCACTAGGAAAGCCAGGTGTGCGCCTTTGCACTTAAGAAGCGATGCATGACAGGGCTAGAGAGAGTAGAGCCCCGCAATGGGTAGGGCACTTTCCTTGCACATGGCTGACCTAGTTACAATCCTCAGAGCCCCAAATGGTCCCTGGAGCCCTGCCAGGAGTGATCCCTGAGCACAGAGCCAGGAGTAAGCCCTGAGCACTGCCGGAAGTGCACCCTACCACCACCAAATTAAAAAGTGACACAGTGAGGCAGAGGGTTAGAAATGTCAGCCTGCAACCAACCCCAGTTCAGTCCCAGGCACCTCTAGTATCCCAGCCCAGCATGACTGGGTTTAGCCCAGCAGGTCCCCAAGCCCTACCTGGGTGACTCTGGAGCAACCCACTGGCACTGCAAAGCCCATGCGTTGGGCTTGAGGACTCAGACCCTCACAGCCAACTCTCTGGTCCAATTGACTAAGAATCTCCAGGGTGGCCCCTGGGTCCTCTGAAGACCACTTGGGCATATCCCCACCAAAAACGGGCATGCTTGTGATTTACAGAGCAGTTCTACCCACCCTTCATCTTTGTCAGAGACTGTTCCTGCTCGCATTACTGCTCAGTGTGAGGTCACGTGCTTCACACCAGGGTTGTCACCACTGTTGCTTTGTCTTTGTGATCTGATCACTGTGATTTCATTGCTGCTCGGTTTGCTCAATTGTTTCAGCATTGGAGGCACTGGGGAGTCCTCTCTGAATTTGATTGCTCTTTGATTCTTTCTTATTCTCTAGGCTGAAATTTAAGGAAAAGAGGTTGAGACTAGGCAAACATTCTCTTCCTTTTATTTTTGATAAAATGCAAGTATTTCGATGTTACCAGCATTACTCTGAAATGCTCTTCTATAGTCTTTATAGTCCTGGACCCCAAAAGTTGTGAAAGGACCAAGACACAGAGGGATTTCCTGGCTCATAGGACCCTTTTTCCTGCAAAGCACGCTTGCTGGCACTCGCAACAGCCGTTAGCTACCTCCCCAGTCCCTGATCCAGGGACTTGATTTGTAAGAAAAGGAAGCAGTAACCGCTTCACCTGCTCACTCATTAGAAACTGAAGTCAAGAATCTTCATTTAATTCAAATAATAAATATGCCCTACAAGTATTATTTGCGGACCGGAGTGATAGCACAGCAGGTAGGGAGTTTGCCTTACACACGACCGACCTGGGTTCGATTCCTCCGCCCCTCTCAGAGAGCCCAGCAAGCTACTGAGAGTACCTCGCCCGCACGGCAAAGCCTGGCAAGCTCCCCGTGATGTACTCGATATGCCAAAAATAGTAACAACAAGTCTCACAATTTGTTGTGAGATGTTACTGGTGCCCGCTTGAACAAATCGATGAACAATGGGAGGACAGTGCTACAGTGCTACAGGACCCTGTAAACCTTTTTCTTTTTTTTTTCTTTTTTTATCTTTTTGGGTTATACCCAGCGATGCTCAGGGGTTACTCCTGGCTCTGCACTCAGGAATTACTCCTGGCAGTGCTTGGGGGGACCATATGGGATGCCGGGGATCGAACCCAGGTCAATCACATGCAAGGCAAACACCCTCCCCACAGAACTATCGCTCGAGCCCCTGTAAACCTTTTTCAATATGACCCTTAGCAAATTGGTCCATGTAGAAAAACCTCTCAACCTCAAGAGGTTCTCTTCAAAAGCCAGTACATTGCCCATGTACATTTCCAGTTTTCTCGAGTCAGACAACTTTGTTCTCTAGCAGATATGACAAACATAAAGATCTCTCACTTGTAGTATAAAGTACAAATTTTAAAGGATCCGCCACATTGATTCATCCAATTTGGTATGGACCAAGCTCTGTCATGTTCATCATACCATCATTACGTCATGGATCATGGGAGCCATTAGTCCTAGAACAAAACTGGGTGCTGTTTTTCTTTGATGGAGAAGGACCATCAAAGGTAGATTGAGTAGGCCAGGCACGTGGTGTTAGTTTTTTACTTAAGGAATCAGGACGTGGTGAGATTTTTTTTTTAAAGGAACAAGGATACTAAGAATTGCTGAGTCAGGGGCCAGGGAGCTAGTACAGAGGTTAGGTTAGATACAGACCATGCATGTGTCTGATCTAAATTAATCCCTTGCACCACCTGTGGTCTCCCAACCATAAACCTCCAATTGTTGAATCAGAACAGATACAGCAAATCATGGCACCCACGTGACTTGGACTAAGGCCTATGTTAAAGGCCTTTAACATAGGTATTAATAACTGGGTGGTACAACACGGCCATACCAGAGACACAGATTACAGAAAGCTTTGCCATCAAGTACTTTCCCGTCATATTCCCTCACTGCTTTCCTGCCCAGTTCTGCAGAAGCAACCATCAAGATGATGTTGGGACAAACACAGTGGTTCCATGGCTATAACACATAATGACATTTTTTGTGAGGTTTCCAAAAAAAAAGGAAATGGTAGAGGTTGGACAGTTATTAAATCTTTCCTTAACAAAGGAATTCTCACTCATTTGCTCTGGTAAGCCTCTGCTTATTTAGCCATCAAATGAGGTTCCTATTATTATTATTTAATAATAGTAAGGACCATTATTGTTTTGTCAACAATTTTCTGTTAATTTTTTGGAAGGGGTGTGAGGGATAGAACCTATGTCTTAATGAGGCATATTCTTTCACACTAAGCTGTGTGCCAGGCATGAGGGACCACTTTTTCTTTTCTTTTCTTTTCTTTTTTATTCTTCGGATTACAACCAGAGATTGATTCCTTTATGCAAAGCGTATGCTGTACCACTGAATACAGCCCTAGTCTTCTGTAAATATTTATGCTAGACAAAGCATTTGAAGTATTTATAATGGTGAATAGGATGAATACAATCCTTACTCTAATTGAATTTGCATGAGAATAAAAAAAGAGGCAAATTAAAAGATAATGAAGATCAAGTTTGATTTCTGTAATAATGTGGAATACTGGTTTAGGGATACTGAGGTAATTTCTAAGAGTAAAATTTAAATCGAGACACCAACGACAAGGTTAAATTAGCTAGGCCAGTGGGGATAATGGAGTGGCTAAATGTTCCATGAGGAATAAACAGCATGTAGAAAGGTCTGTAGGCAAGAAAATATGTGAAGGCCAGAGAGAGGGAGTGAAGGGCAATGCAAGATCATGAAAGTGGTAAGTGGAAGTGACATTAATGGATTTGCATTTTGTAATTATCTGGCCCATGAGAGGAAGAGGATAAAAAGAGACTGCCCACAGAACATTTAGATGGCTAATGCAATAGTCCAGACAACTCAAAACACATCATGCTTTGTAGATGGTCAATCGATATACTGATGAAGTCTTGATAGCCATCCTCAGGAAGCGAACAAAATGTCAGAAATCACTGCTAAATTACTGTGGATCATTTTGACTCTGTTTGCTCCTATTTCTAGCTAGAATTCTTAATGGATAACACATAAGATTTACTCAAAGGATGCATAGAATAGGACAACAGGAATCCGCACACTATAGTTCTCAATGTTATAAAAATTTTATATTATCAAAAAATACTGTTAGCTATGCCAGAATCATCTAAATCTCATGCTCTGGGTTCCACGGGATTTCTGAATGATCTTTTCAATCTTTTCTCCCCAGTCTCTTATAGTAGTATGTCTTCTTTATTGTTGATCAGTCCAGTTAGAGAAATTTCATTGAAATTTCTAATTACCAGATTTGATTTTTATATATTTGTTTCTTATAGTTTGTCATTTTTCTTCTTGATTTGTGTTTTTACCTTTATATTTTTTCTGTTTTATAGTAAATCTGCTTTTTTTTTCTTTTACCCCCTTAAGTCAGAATCTCAGAAAATTTTAT